CTGGAGGCTTGGCTTAGTAGGGGCGTGCCTTTCAGTAAGTTTTTTTGGCCACCTGTGAGAGTAAATATCATTCTGTTTAATCTCTTCTGTTGAATTGTTATCATGTGTTATGGTTCAGCACTGATACTTTTGTAGTTTTAAAGAAGTTTACAGAAGTGTTGGAGTTCCTTAAACGCCTATGCAAATCCCAATGTGATATCACCAATGGGATAGTAACGACTTTGTTGCAATCTGTAAATTATAGTCTTAGTATTTCTGTATTAAAATATGTAATGTGCAATAATATCCAAGGAAAATCTATCAACAGGAAGGACATTTACACTCACGGGTGGCCAAAAATAGCAATCTAAAAGCCACACCTCCTGAAAATAACCTATGTATTACATTAAAAAAGACCCAGCTGCTTGGTCAACCCAGCACGAAAGTTTATGAAACACTAATTGGTGGTTAAATGAATCCATGTTTGGGTAATCCAAACATGTTGGGTTATTCACAGAACTTGTCACATTATGCTGGCTTGCAAAGTGATGCGTATTGCACTCCAGCCAGAGCGGGGCTATCCAACCTTTGGAAGTCTTATCACCCGCAACCTGCTTTCAGAATGACTGGCAGGTTTGTGAAGATTGCAACTTGAGACTACCTAAATCATCTTAACTGGAACAACCATTTCAGTAACGGGTGCAAGAAATCCAAGTAACATATTGGATTAGTTTAGAAAATGTATGTCATTTATATTTGAGAAGCATAAGATTAATTAATCAATCAATTAATGTACAGTACATGCAAACACATAGATATTGAAACAAATAATTCTTAAAATCAACATACAAGATAGCATGCTGGGAAATATAATAATGATGGGCTTGGTTTTGGTTAAACTCTGGTTATTAACACCAACACTGGGGTTACTTTACACCAATTATTGTTAATTGAACACTTACATAGTTAATTGTTATGTTTAGAGTGTAGGCCCTCAAAATGAGGCCTTATGAAATACACAAGCTGTGTTGGAATACTGTCGTGGAAATTCTAATCAATAATGAGGAGAGACAAGGTCAATCACCAATCACAACACCCACACACACACGTGAATATAGTGAGTGCTCTGCAATAATGAGGCTGGTCGACCCAACACTCTTGAGTGTTGGGCCGAGAGCTCTGACATGCAAAGAATACAAATATATTTTATAGCGCGATACAACCTCTTAGTCTACATGACAAATAGCAGATGTGTGGAATGGGTCAAAAGGTTAGGATTTGTATGAAATAAATAAATAATTCACAGCATACAGTATCGCTGTGAAGACTGTTCTTATTGTATGAAACCCAGAGTTTGGCCCCCAAGACGAGGTTCTTATCAACTATTCACAACAGATCTCGTCCCTGGTACCTTACACACACAGACACCAATTCAGTCTATGAAAATGCAGGGTCAGTCAGACCAGAGACATCTCCCTCTCACACACCACTAATCATAGAATGGAATGTGGCTGTTGGTTTTATCACCTAGCCATCACTTAATCAGTTGCCAGCCCAAGCTTCAGAGGCTCCTCTCAGTTCACATAGACACAGATGAAAGAGTTCAAAGAACCCTATTCTGTTGCATACAACAACCATTCGATGCATAAACAGTATTAAACATAATCTTGTAATTTTTCTACCATAATACCCATACTAACATACTGTATACTACACACTTAATGATTATATAGTACATACTATATACTATTACTTCATTTTAGTATACTGTAACGAATTGTATCCTTTCAGTTGAGTGTACTAGCGCCTCGCCTGTCTACTGGAAGTTGATGCTGTTGCTATGCAAGTTCTTGCTAGCTTGTTAGCATAACAAATTACTAGCTAGACATCTTACGACTTCATTATCAATGTCCATTGAGAACGCACAATGACTATACCACTTAGCTAAGCTAAGAATGACGTGAATTATCAAGTCAATAAACATTGGGTAGTTAGTTAGATAGCATATAGTTAATGTACTGGCAAGTTCGATGTATTAGTAGCCAACTTACGTTAAGTAGCTAGCTAACATACCGGTACATACAAGCAACTGCTGTAATGATATGCTATGCGGTTCGTAAGGCTAGCGTAGCTAACAAATTATCAGCCAATGTAACATAACTTATTTGAAAAGTCATTACCCTTACAAAAAAAGATTGCAGTTCTTGTAACTGCAGTAAAAGTACAGTAACTGCAGTCAACTGTGGTATTTTGGACGCAGTAATTGCAGAATAACTGCAGTATACTGCACTCTAACTGCAGTTACAAAAAAAAACTGTTATTTTGGATGCAGTATTTGCAACATATGTAAATGTACTTTATTACATTGCTCAACATTTCTTAACATTTATCATAATTACTTAAAGCAATTATTTTTGTATCTGCTCTCGTCAGACTTCGGCTGCATATTTTCGGGCATTTTCTTCAAATCTGAAAATGTTGTGAAGCCACGCCCATTTTCTGAAGAATTGCGTAATGGGCCCTAAAAGCACAGAAATAGTGTCCACTGCTTGTATACTTCGTATTTTGCCGAATGTAGTACGACATCCGGGAACTTTTGGCATACTAACTATATCCATACTATGACCAATAAGCATACTACGTACTACATTTTCATCACAAATAGTATGGTTAGTGCTGTTAGTATGAGTTTTCGAACACAGCTATATTGTATAAAGCCTATTCCCTCTCAGGAGACTGAAAAGATTTGGCATGGATCCTCAGATCCTCAAAAAGTTCTACAGCTGCACCATTGAGAGCATCCTGACTGGTTGCATCACCGCCTGGTATGGCAACTGCTCTGCCTCCGACCGCAAGGCACTACAGAGGGTAGAGCGTACGGCCCAGTACATCACTGGGGCCAAGCTTCCTGCCATCCAGGACCTCTATACCAGGTGGTGTCAGAGGAAGGCACTCAAAATTGTCAAAGACTCCAGCCACCCTAGTCATAGACTGTTCTCTCTGCTACCCCACGGCAAGTGGTACCGGAGCCCCAAGTCTAGGTCCAAAAGGCTTCTCAACAGCTTCTACCCCCAAGCCATAAGACTCCTGAACAGCTGATCATTGCTACCCGGACTATTTGCACTGACCCCCCACCACCAACCACCAACCACCAACCCCCAACCCACCCCACCTTTTTACTACTATGTTAATTATTTATGCATAGTCACTTTAACTCTACCCACATGTACATATTACATCAAGTAGCCGGTGCCCCCGCACACTGACTCTGCACCGGTACCCCCCTGTATATAGCCTCCCTACTGTTATTTTATTTTACTTCTGCTCTTTTTTTCACAACACTTTTTTGTTGTTGTTGTTTTAGTTTACTTTTTTATTAAAAAATAAATTCATTGTTGGTTAAGGGCTGTAAGTAAGCATTTCACAGTGATGTCTACACCTGTTGTATTCAGCACATGTGGCAAATACAATTTGATTTGATTTGATTTGTGTTAAAGGTCCTGAACAGTCATTCTGAAAGTACTTTTTCTCTCATGGATGTTTGAAAAGACTGGCTGAGCGGGCGAGGAGCTTATAATCAAGAGCTCGCCTTCACTGACAGCTCTTTGAAACGCCTATGTCAAGCAACTTGGATGCAGTGAGCAGTGTTGCAGTAAAATCATCTCAAGCAAATTTGGTGACACACAACGCGGTTCACAGCAGCACTGATGGTTGTGTTGACTGTAACTGCGTGTCAGTTTTTAAATGACCCTTACCCCCCTTTTGCCAGTAACTAGCTAACATCAGACATAGATGAAAAGGGAAACATATACGTATCTTTGCCATAGATTAATAGGGTAAACTTTTTATCATATTTGCTGACTCCCTACAGTCAAAATACAAGGCAGCACTTTAAAAATGACCTTGTCCCCTTAATAATGAATTCAAGTGTTTGACATGGGGGAGGGGACCAGTAACTTTATGATCAAACTTTATCAATGTAGAAGCAACAGTAATTTTTCATACTTTGATCTGTTTTCCTTCAAACATCATCCAATTTCATGAAAAACATGATTTTTAGGACCATATTTTTAGGACCATTAAAATAAAAGTACATTTTAATGATAACATATTTACTCAGGATCTCAATTGGTGAAGTCCAGAGGACTGAAAATGGATGAATGCAACAACCATGTCTCTGTCACTAACAAATTCAGTCATGGGTGGTAACTCTACAATTCATTCGAAAGGCACTCTTGGAAGTAAGGCTTTACATGAAGCAGTGTGTTAATGTAGCCCTTTCCTGCAGTCAAATTACCTAGTGGCCTCAGGTGGAATGTTATTCATATTTTTCACAATTTCATAATTAATAAACATTTACTATTTTTGAAACAACGAAAACCTGGTGTTTCTATGTAAAACAGTTTTGTTATATTTCAGTCTTCTGTGATGTATATGAAGTGTAATATTGGGATGCAAACTCAAAATGGAATACATTTCAACTCTATATCTGACACGGTACAGGTGTCTTCTTTTTTTGTAAGCCCATAACCGTGTGTGAGGTGTATACTTTTGTTTCAAAGTAGATTTGTTTAAGGCTACCAAGAAACACTCTGTGTGACCCTGATTTTTTCCCACTGCAGTAAAAGGTTAACACTGTTCCAGTGTCTATACTGGTCCACACTTTCAGTGTTGATTTAACACTGGAGAATTTGATGTATTTATGCTAGGTAAGGGCAGGTCCTGTTAGTATGCCCGTGCTGAGTGCTCCTCCTAATTTTTTGACTTTGAATTTTGATGCTTTCTCAATTACAGAGGCATTTTGCCTTTGTCCTCAAGTAAATATAATATTTATATTTTGGCCAAGTTTATTGTTTTCACAAGTTAAGTATTTGTGTCTACTATTTTCATAATATGTAGCCTATAGTTATAAATTACATCTGGAACCTTCTTCATCACCTGTACTGTAAATACACCTCACTTTTGCACCTGATCCTGAACCTCCAAAATAGGCTACCAACTTCTCTTTCCTAACACCCATAATGGTACATGGGCGAGCTAAACTATAACATAAGACAATATTGCTCTGTTTGAATACTGAATTGAGACAGAGGCTATAGGGCTGCGTTTACACAGGCAGCCCAATTCTGATATTTCTTTCCACTAATTGGTCTTTTGACCAATCAGATCAGCTCTTTTGTCAATAATTGGGCAAAAGATCAGAATTGGGCTGCCTGTGTAAATGCAGCCAGGCATTGGGACTGTCTCTCAGATTAAGGAAGGACACCCTTTAGCGACAGTAGTGTGTTAGTAGAAGGCCCAGCAGTACATTAGGCTAGCCTCACCCTCTCTCTCAGCACTCTGCTGCATCAATCCGTTGCGCATGAGTAGATTGGCTAATGACAGGTCCCCTTGTGTATACATAGTACTAACGAGCAGACACTGATACTGTCTGTCAATGCATTTTGTTTTCTCTTATCTGGTATAGTGGGTCATGCTACTGTTACAGACCTTTACCCCTCCTATCACTTACCCTACACACATACACACATATGCACATACACACATACACACACATGGTGAATGGACTGCACTGTCTGTGACTACTCGCTTACACACTGAAAGTTGGTTTATTTTGGTCAATATTGTAATACATTGGAGTAATTACATACCTAGGAACTTGATTGATGTAGCTTGACTATAAACCACTTGTTAGCTGCAGAAATTGTCAAAGACTCCAGCCACCCTAGTCATAGACTGTTCTCTCTGCTACCGCACGGCAAGCGGTACCGGAGTGCCAAGTCTAGGTCCAAAAGACTTCTCAACAGCTTCTACCCCCAAGCCATAAGACTCCTGAACAGCTAATCATGGCTACCCGGACTATTTGCACTGCCCCCCCACCCCATCCTTTTTACGCTGCTGCTACTCTGTTAAGTATTTATGCATAGTCACTTTAACTCTACCCACATGTACATATTACCTCAACTACCTCAACTAGCCGGTGCCCCCGCACATTGACTCTGCAAAGGTACCCCCCTGTATATATAGCCTCCCTACTGTCACTTTATTTTACTTCTGCTCTTTTTTTCTCAACACTTTTTTTGTTGTTGTTTTATTCTTACTTTTTTTGTTTAAAATAAATGCACTGTTGGTTAAGGGCTATAAGTAAGCATTTCACTGTAATGTCTGCACCTGTTGTATTCGGCGCATGTGACCAATAAAATTTGATTTGATTTGATTTGATTTGATTTTGAATATGTGACATTGACAACATATACACAAACTCCCCTATTTCTCTCCCCATCTCTCTCTCTCTCTCTCTCTCTCTCTCTGCACAGGAGGAGGAGGATGAGGAAGGTTCCACAGAGGAGCAGGAAGAAGAAGAGGAGGAGGACTGGGAGAAGGCATTATCAGTGGAGAGGTTCGGGGACATCATCACTGAGTCCGCGTTCAGCAGCGGAGAAAAGATGGGCCGAAACTTCAACGAAAAAGATTTTGAGTGTAAGCCCGTTCACCAATCTGTAGACTTCTATACCGGTATGCTTTTGTAGAACACAGGGAAAAGGTTCCCAGAATGTCTGCTCATAACAGTTTTTGCTAACAGAAATCAGTGTTGGGGTTACTTAAGCCTGCCGCTTTAATGCTTTATAACTTGTTATAAGCATATGCGTCGTCGTAATTTAATTTCTGTGGCATGTCTCTGTCTGTGTATCAACATTCAACTGCCTCAACATGGCTGGTATTTTGTCAGAATCTTTGACCCCCCCATCCTTTTTAACTATCGTTATGCAATGGTTATAGGTTGTTTTCAATAAAACGTCACAATATGTTCGATTTGGCTACTGGGGGACAAGGAGACCCCCAGCTCCACTAAAACCATTGACAACTACGTGCCATTTTCAAGGGATTGTTAAATAATTGTTATAACTATTTCGTTTTAATATCATCACCTATTGAGCATAGTCAGAACTACACATTTCCGATAATTCCATGCATTTAGCTCTATCCTCAGAGTTATACAGCAAGTAACTGTATGCTTTTCATGATCAGTAAAAATGATCATGTAATTTCAGATACGTGAAGGTAGCCTATCCATTTGGCATGTAACAAGCTAAGCAAACAACATAATTTACATAGTGTGTTTCATCAGAGATTAGGCTTTTGGAAAGAGCTTGATATCGGCAAGTCCTCATCCTGGTAAAGTTGTCAGTTGGACTACTGTCATCACCACTATAGATGGCAAGCAAATGAAACAGTATTTGGATATAGTGTAGCTTATCCCTTGAAAGTATGCTTGTTAACTAGCCATATTGTAGTGATCTGTTATTAGCTAGCTAGCTAATTTGACGTGGTCCATCAATCAATGTAGTTTATATCATGGCTGTCAGCAGCGATTGTAATTAAATGATCTTTAAATTTAAAAAAAGATAAGGGGATCATGTTACCTAACTTCGCTAGGTAGGCCTACATTGGTTGGAGAAAAAAGTACATTAGGTCTACTTACCACTATATGTTTAGCCAACTGTACAAAGTTTCTACCGGTAGCTTGCAAAGTAAACATAAACTAACAGCACCACGGCAAATTCGCCCTTCTGCTGCTTGACAGACAGAGCCCACAAAGATGGGAAATTAACCTAAACCACTCATACTTGTCAGGTATAGTTCACTTTTATTTTATATCATTAAAATATAAAATTAATGGTGGCCAATATTGAAAGATATCGTGAGGCTACCATACATAGCTGAAATTACATGATCAATTGATGTTTACTGATCATGAAAAGCATGCAGTTACTTGCTGTATCTCTGATGATAGAGCTAAATGTGAGCAATTGTTTTGCATGGAATAATCTGAAATGTGTAGGTCTGACTATGCTCTTCAAGAGGCGATGATATTACAACCAAATAGTTAACATTTATTTAACTATCACTTGGAAACGGCACACAGTTGTCAATGGTTTTAGCGGAGCTGTGGGTTTGCTTGCCCCACAGCAGGCAAATCGAACACTCTACACCTTATTGTGACATTTTATTGAAAACAACCTATAAGATGTTATAAAGCTCACAAATACAATGCACTATGCCGGCATGCTTTGCCATTATTTTCACTTAAACTCCTACCTTCCATTTCACAGATCATCGGCACACCTTTCACCACACCCACCACCCCCTGTCCACCCACCTGCCCCCGCCACAGCGCCTACGCAAGCGGGTGCTCAGCATGGACCGCGACCGCCGGCGCAAGAAGAAGCGAAAGAAAAAAAAGACCTCCATGCCGCCCTCAGAGGTCACGCCCACCATCCATGAGGTAGATGAGGAGGAGGAGGCGGAGTCTGAGTCAGAGGGGTGGGGCCAAGCGGCCACGCCCACAGAGCAGCCTGACGACCAACCACAGGTAATTTAACAGAAAGTTGCGATAACGTCTGATGGCCAATCAGAATGCCTGCATAGCAAATTCCCCAGTGTTGATTTAACACTGGAGAATTTGCTGTGTGTTATTGTTATTTATCCTTTATTCTTTATACATTGCGATACAATGTTTTGAGTGTTGCAAGTTGAAGTTTAGTATATTAATTTGTTATTTATTCATTCAGCATATTAATTTCAAAGACACTCCAGAGAAAAATGTATGTCACACTCTACATGTGGTGTGTGAAGTTGGCTGGGAATTTTTGTCTACTGTGTAATATGAGACCTTTAATAAAAAGCGGGCAGTAGCTGACACAGGAAAGATGAAGATCTGCCAAGTACTAGTCTAACAGGTGCCTGAGAGAGAGAGAGAGAGAGAGAGTTGGAGAGATGGAGAGTTAGGAGTCCTATGTTCGACACCTTGTTCGCCTGACTGGGACAGGACAGCACCTGACTTGAACTGACACTCACGGTCCAGGCACTTGAACTCAATCAACTGGCCTTTAGATTGAACCTTCAGATGAAGCTGTTAGGGATTCCATGTACTAGGACAACTGTAACCAACTCCCTCTCCTCTCAGTTTAGCTTGGGGAGTGAGGAGGATTTGGAACCGGCTCTCCCTTTCACTTCCTTCCACATGGAGAGCGAACATCAACATCTGCCGCCAGAGAAGGCCACACTGGCCACGGCAGAGGAGGTGGTGGTGGAGGAGGAGGAGGAGCAGCAGCAGGAACAGGAGGTTCAGGAGCAACCGGAGGATGAGGAGGGTGATGAAGAGTTCAACAACAGGTGGGCCCAGCAGTGTTACAGTAGCTAGCAAGACAATTGGCAGTATATTGGCAGTGGTGTGAAACAATTAGTAATTTCAAATCAGGCAATTGTATTGTTCACTACAATATCCAGCAACCATCCAACACTTCTTATTTTGTTAGCACATCTCGCCGTAAGGCAAAAGGTGAAACTAGGATGTTACTAGCTAGATTATATGCTTAATTAATTATACATTAAGAAAACACAAAACTGAAGTGCACAAAAATAGGACAGTGCCTACAATATTTATTTTGTATGACAGAGGTCAGTACTCAACATTTGAAGATCTTTAAAGATCTCATCAATCAATGCAAATACCAGCTCGTCCTACAATGCTATTACTTTTGTACACTTCAAACAGTCAATGCTCATTATGCCCGATTCCAGTAGATTTATCTAAAAACATCAAAGCATTTACAGTGCCTTGCAAAAGTATTCAGACCCCTTGGATTTCTTCAATCAATCAAATTGATTTATAAAGCCCTTTTTACATCAGCAGATGTCACAAAGTGCTATACAGAAACCTAGCCTAAAACCCCAAACAGCAAGCAATGCAGATGTAGATGCACAGTGAATAGGAAAAACTCCCTAGAAAGGCAGGAACCTAGGAAGAAACCTAGAGAGGAACCACGCTCTGAGGGGTGGCCAGTCCTCTTCTGGCTGTGCCGGGTGGAGATTATAAGAGTACATGGCCATTAAGGCCAGATTGTTCTTCAAGATGTTCAAACGTTCATAGATGACCAGCAGTGTCAAATAATAATCACAGTGGTTGTAGAGGGTGCAACAGGTCAGTACCTTAGGAGTAAATGTCAGTTGGCTTTTCATAGCCGAGCATTCAGAGGTTGAGACAGCAGGTGTGGTAGAGAGAGAGAGTCGAAAACAGCAGGTCCGGGAGAAGGTAGCATGTCCGGTGAACAGGTCAGGGTTCCATAGCCGCAGGCAGAACAGTTGAAACTGGAGCAGCAGCACGACCAGGTGGACTGGGGACAGCCAGGAGTAATCAGGCCAGGTAGTCCTGAGGCTTGATCCTAGGGCTCAGGTCCTCCGGGAGGGGAGGGAGAGAGGGAGAGAGAGAGAATTAGAGGGAGCATACTTAAATTCACACAGAACACCAGATAAGACAGGAGAATTACACTAGATACAGTGGGGGAAAAAAGTATTTAGTCAGCCACCAATTGTGCAAGTTCTCCGACTTAAAAAGATGAGAGAGGCCTGTAATTTTCATCATAGGTACACGTCAACTATGACAGACAAAATGAGAAAAAAAATCCAGAAAATCACATTGTAGGATTTTTAATGAATTTATTTGCAAATTATGGTGGTAAAATAAGTATTTGGTCAATAACAAAAGTTTCTCAATACTTTGTTATATACCCTTTGTTGGCAATGACACAGGTCAAACGTTTTCTGTAAGTCTTCACAAGGTTTTCACACACTGTTGCTGGTATTTTGGCCCATTCCTCCATGCAGATCTCCTCTAGAGCAATGATGTTTTGGGGCTGTCGCTGGGCAACACGGACTTTCAACTCCCTCCAAAGATTTTCTATGGGGTTGAGATCTGGAGACTGGCTAGGCCCTCCAGGACCTTGAAATGCTTCTTACGAAGCCACTCCTTCGTTGCCCGGGCGGTGTGTTTGGGATCATTGTCATGCTAAAAGACCCAGACACGTTTCATCTTCAATGCCCTTGCTGATGGAAGGAGGTTTTCACTCAAAATCTCACGATACATGGCCCCATTCATTCTTTCCTTTACACGGATCAGTCGTCCTGGTCCCTTTGCAGAAAAACAGCCCCAAAGCATGATGTTTCCACCCCCATGCTTCACAGTAGGTATGGTGTTCTTTGGATGCAACTCAGCATTCTTTGTCCTCCAAACACGACAAGTTGAGTTTTTACCAAAAAGTTATATTTTGGTTTCATCTGACCATATGACATTCTCCCAATCCTCTTCTGGATCATCCAAATGCACTCTAGCAAACTTCAGACGGGCCTGGACATGTACTGGCTTAAGCAGGGGGACACGTCTGGCACTGCAGGATTTGAGTCCCTGGCGGCGTAGTGTGTTACTGATGGTAGATTTTGTTACTTTGGTCCCAGCTCTCTGCAGGTCATTCACTAGGTCCCCCCCCCCCCCCCCCCCCCCCCCCCCCGTGTGGTTCTGGGATTTTTGCTCACCGTTCTTGTGAGCATTTTGACCCCACAGGGTGAGATCTTGCGTGGAGCCCCAGATCGAGGGAGATTATCAGTGGTCTTGTATGTCTTCCATTTCCTAATAATTGCTCCCACAGTTGATTTCTTCAAACCAAGCTGCTTACATATTGCAGATTCAGTTTTCCCAGCCTGGTGCAGGTCTACAATTTTGTTTCTGGTGTCCTTTGACAGCTCTTTGGTCTTGGCCATAGTGGAGTTTGGTGTGTGACTGTTTGAGGTTGTGGACAGGTGTCTTTTATACTGATAACAAGTTCAAACAGGTGCCATTAATACAGGTAACGAGTGGAGGAGAGAGGAGCCTCTTAAATAAGAAGTTACAGGTCTGTGAGAGCCAGAAATCTTGCTTGTTTGTAGGTGACCAAATACTTATTTTCCACCATAATTAGCAAATAAATTCATTACAAATCCTACAATGTGATTTTCTGGATTTTTTTTTCTCAATTTGTCTGTCATAGTTGACGTGTATCTATGATGAAAATTACAGGCCTCTCATCTTTTTAAGTGGGAGAACTTGCACAATTGGTGGCTGACTAAATACTTGTTTTCCCCCACTGTATAACAGACTGACCCTAGTCCCCCGGTACATAGACTATTGCAGCATATATACTGGAGGCTGAGTCAGGGGTGGGTCGGGTGACACTGTGGCCCCGTCCGACGATACCCCCGGACAGCGCCAACCAGGCAGGATATAACCCCACCCACTTTGCCAAAGCACAGCCCTCACACCACTAGAGGGATATCAACAGACCACCAACTTACTACCCTGAGACAAGGCTGAGTATAGCCCATGAAGATCTTCTCTACCGCACGAGCCAGAGGGGGCGCAAAACCGGAGAGGAAGATCCCGTCTGTGACTCAACCCTCCTAGGGACAGCATGGAAGAGCAATAGTAAGCCAGTGACTCAGTCCCCGTAATAGGGTCAGAGACAGAGAATCCCAGTGGAGAGAAGGGAGCCGGCCAGGCAGATACAGCAACGGCAGTTCATTGCTCCAGTGCCTTGCCATTCACCTTCGCACCCCTGGGCCAGACTACACTCAATCATAGGACCTACTGAAGAGATGAGTCTTCAGTAAAGACTCATCTCGAGTCTGCGTCTCTCACATGGATAGGCAGACCATTCCATAAAAATTGAGCTCTATAGGAGAAAGCCTTGCCTCCAGCTGTTTGCTTGGAAATTCTAGGGACAATAAGGAGGCCTGCGTCTTGTGACCGTAGCGTACGTGTAGGTATGTACGTCAGGACCAAATCAGAGAGATAGGTAGGCGCAAGCCCATGTAATGCGTTGTAGGTCAGCAGTAAAACCTTGAAATCAGCCCTAGCCTTAACAGGAAGTCAGTGTAGAGAGGCTAGCACTGGAGTAATATGGTTCTAGTCAAGATTCTATCAGCCGTGTTTAGCATTAACTGAAGTTTATTTTCTGCTTTATCCAGGTAGCCGGAGAGTAGAGCATTGCAGTAGTCTAATCTAGAAGTGACAAAAGCATGGGTTAGCTTTTCTGCATTTTTGTACAAAAAGTTTCAGATTTTTGAAATGTTACAAATGGAAAAAAGCTGCCTTTAAATATTCTTGATATGTTCGTCAAAAGAGAGATCAAGGTCCAGAGTAACGCCAAGGTCCTTCACTGTTTTATTTAAGATGACTGTACAACCATTAACATTATTTGTCAGATCCAACAGCAGATCTCTTTGTTTCTTGGGACCTAGAACTAGCATCTCTGTTTGGTCTGAGTTTAAAAGTAAAAAATGTCCCGCCATCCACTTCCTTATGTCTGAAACACAGGATTCCAGGGTAGGCAATTTTGGGGCTTCACCATGTTTCATCGAAATGTACAACTGTGTGTCGTCCGCATAGCAGTTAATTGTTGACATTGTGTTTCCGAATGACATCCCCAAGAGGTAGAATATATAGTGAAAACAATAGTGGTCCCAAAACGGAACATTGAGAAACACTAAAACTTACAATTGATTTGTCAGAGGACAAACCCTCCACAGAGATGATCTGATATCTTTCTGACAGATAAGATCTAAACCAGGCAAGAACTTGTCTGTGTAGACCAATTAGGGTTTCTAATCTCTCCAAAAGAATGTGGTGATCGATGGTGTTAAAAGCAGCACTAAGGTCTAGGAGCACGAGGACAGATGCAGAGCCTTGGTCTGACGCCATTAAAAGGTAATTTACCACCTTCACGAGTGCAGTCTCAGTGCTATGATGGGGTCTAAAACCAGACTGAAGCATTTCGTATACATTATTTTGTCTTCAGGAAGGCAGTGAGTTGCTGCGCAACAGCTTTTTCAAAACATTTAGAGAGGAATGGGATATTCACTATAGGCCGATAGTTTTTTAATTTTTCCGGGTCAAGGTTTGGCATTTTCAAGAGAGGCTTTATTACTGCCACTTTTAGTGAGTTTGGTACACATCCGGTGGATAGGGAGCCATTTATTATGTTCAACATAGGAGGGCCAAGCACAGGAAGTAGCTCTTTCAGTAGTTTAGTTGGAATAGGGTCCAGTATGCAGCTTGAGGGTTTAGAGCAGGGGTGTCAAACGTCCGGCCCGCGGGCCGGATCAGGCCCGCAAACGGGTTTAATCCGGCCCGCGAGCTGCAATTTTTCAATAAAAGAAACTGCTGTTCCAATTGTGTCTACTGGATGGCGCAATAGCAATTGTGCTAAGCAAGCAAACTGTTTATACCGGGGCATAGCAAATAGGTCAAGCAAGTGCAGCCAGTCCGGGTGAGCTACTTTGTTTTGCCCGCAATATTTATTACGGCTTCTACTTTTAACATTATGTGCTTTG